CCTTCGGGTGAATGGGACTGGAGGGGGAGATCTGTGGGGTCCAGCCCACATTTTAAGGAAGTTATTTTCTTCCTTTCTTCTTCATTTTCAAAGTTGGCAGAAGCAGGCAGCTCACGTTTCTCATTTTTCTGTCAAAAATGACAGGCTGCAGAAGTTGAAAGGTCAAGGTTGGTAGGCATATTTTGCCTATAAAATGAGAGCTTCGGCTTTCATTCTTTTATCACAATCTCAGAGGAAAATATATCTGAGAGCTAGAAATAAAGAGTGAGGTTTCACAAACAGGGTATAAGAAAATAGTCTGTGAAGAAAATAGAGAGTGTGAGCAATATTATAGTGAGGTGAAATATCAAAAGAGGGTTATTTCTTTTGAGTATTGTAGTGGTCTTTGTAGTATTTTACCCGGGCCTACAAAGTGTAAATTCCTTACTATAGTGATATCAGTTGCTCCTCTCGGGGTCGTGGTTTTTCCCTTATTCAGAAGGGTTTTCCACGTAAAAATCTTGGTGTCATTGTTACTCTTTTATTCTTGTTAATTACCGTATCTCGGTGCTACATTATTATTCCGCTTTTATTACCGTGAATATTATTTTGGTAGGGGGTTTATTCCCAACAAAGTGAACTGTATTTAGAAAAAATAGCATGTAAACTATTTTCGTGAATCCCAAAATCAAGGAACAGAGTTTTATTGAGTAAATGAGCTGGAAATCATTGAGAGGTATTGATATTTTAAAATGAAAATACAAGTATACCAAATAGGAGCAATCTTGAGCTAATTAACAACCCCTATAAAGGATAGTTGTTAATTAAATTAATCATGGTTAGTTGATAACTTTAGTTAATAGGTAGTTAGAGTTAATTTGTACAGCTAGACATTAGTTGCTTTAGTCGGTTAGTGAGATATCTAGATAAATAGAGTTGTAACTCATTATTCTAAGCAATTACAATCAATGTTGCTCCCAGATCTTCTTCTCTCAATTCTGCATTGATGCACAATGTTTGGCATGGTATTAGAGCAAATGTTGTGTAGATGGAAGGAAATGGCATGTAATTCTCCAATTCTGGAGTTTCTACCATAGCACCTACACATGGAAGCAACTGGTAGATGAACAGCCCTGGAGTTCCCACTCAAAGGTTCACACAAGAGCAATACTCTCAGATTTTACAACTATTGTAGAAAACTTCCATTGGTGATTCAACTGTCAGTTTAAATATGGCAGGTAACTATGTTTGTAATGATGTAGATAGCTCTAATTATATTATAGATACAGGTGTTACCAATCATGTGACAGGAAATAAGGACTTGCTTGAAAATCTTGCATTAGTAGGCAATATAGGGCAGGTGCAGTTTCCTACAGGGGATTCAATTGCAATCACACACAGAGGGAACCACCAACTCTCAGGAGGTGATGTCCTTAGTAATGTCCTATGCGTACCAGCATTCAGATTCAATCTTGTGTCTGTGTCAAAGTTGATAAAGGACTTGAATTGTTATGTCACATTCTTCCCAACATTTTGTGTGTTTCAAGAACTCTTGTATGGAAGGGTGAAAGAGATTGATAGAGAATTAGATGGACTATACTACATACAGTCGTTAGCAAAGAATAAAAGAGTTGCAGTCCCACATTCTTTTGCAGTCACTAAAGGCATTGCTAGAGATGGCTCAACAGCTTTATGGCATAAGCAGATGGGGCATGTGCATGTTTCAGTTTTAAAGAGAATTCCTGTTTTCCAAGGCAACAATAGTTTTCACTCCAACAAGTTGTTAAATAAATGTATTGTCTGTCCTCTTGCGAGGCAGACTAGGCTTCCTTTTCCAATAAGTTCTAGCATATGTTTAGATAGTTTTGAGCTCATTCACATGGATGTTTAGGGTCCCTGTAGAGTAGCAACACATAATGGTATGTGATTTTTCCTTACTTTGGTTAATGATTGTACAAGATATACAAGGTTATTTCTAATGAAGTTTAAATCTGATGTTGTTGTGTTACTTAAAGGTTTCATTATCATGGAAAAGACTCAGTTTCAGAAAATAATAAAGAAGTTCATATCTGATAATGGTGTTGAATTCTTCAACAGTACTTGCAAGGAAGTGTTCACTTCACATGGAATTTTATATCAAAGCGTATGTCCTTACACTCCTCAACAAAATAGGATTGTAGAAATGATGCACAGACACATCTTAGAGATAGCTAGGGCCATTAGGTTTCAGGGGAATCTCCCAGCCATGTTTTAAGGTTATCATATTGATGCAGCAGTCTACATAATTAACAGGATACCATCCACTGTCCTCCAGAATAGAACTCCCTATGAGCTGTTGCACCACAAACAACCTTCATTTGCACATCTAAGGGTTATAGGGTGCTTATGTTTTGCCACCAACTTGACTACGACAGACAAATTCAGTCCTAGAGCAGTGAGATTTATCTTGCTTGGATATGCACTATACCAAAAGGGATACAAGCGGCTAGACATTGAAAATAGAGTTATTTTTATCACTAGAGATGTTGCTTTCCATGAAGATGTTTTTCCTTTTCAATAATTGTCTTACAAATTTGAGCATTTGTTTCTTGATTCTCATGTTATACCAAGACAAGAGCTCTTGGATGATACTTCAGAAGGCCCTGTAGCCCCTGTTCTTCCTTCAGTACATTGCCATACTGACAAGTCTCTTCCTCAAACCAATGTGGCACCTGATGATCCTGCTAGTTTGATCACCTACACATGAACTTAAACCAGAGAAGAATGTAGATACTCATAGAGAGTCTGTTATAGAGGAGTGTGCAACAGTCAATACAACAGAGGAGCATACAATAGTCAATACAGAATCTCATGAAATTGATGTCAGAAAGTCAACCAGAGTTTCCAAACCTCCAGCTTGGCTTCAAGATTACATTATTCCAGGAAAGGATAAAGGTGTTAATTGTTGCAGATATCCCATTTATGTTGTTATAGGCTATGATGGCCTATCTTTCAAGTATCAAAGTTACCTGTCCAAGATATCCATTGAGGAAGAGCCTACTAGCTATGGTGCAGCAGCTAAGGATACCAAATGGGCAAATCCCATGAAGGCTGAAATCAAAGCATTAGAGGACAATAAGACATGGGATATTGTACCTTTACCCAAAGGGAAGAAAGTAATAGGATGCAAGTTGATTTACAAAATTAAATACAATGCCTCATAAGAAGTTGAGAGATACAAATCAAGGCTTGTGGCTAAAGGATTTAATCAGAGAAAAGGTCTTGAATATCAAGAAACATTCTCTCATGTGGTTAAGATGGTTAATGTCAGAAGTGTAATTGCTCTTGCAGCTTCCAGGCAGTGGATTATCCATCAAATGGATGTCTATAATACCTTCTTGCAAGGGGATTTAACTGAGGAAGTCTATATGTAGATACTACAAGGCTTCAGCAGTTCTGGTGATAAATCATTAGTATGCATGCTACATAAGTCCATCTATGGGCTTAAGCAAGCCTCATGTCAATGGAACCTCAAATTAACCTTAGATCTCATTGATTCTGGTTTTATTCAAAGTCATCTGGATTATTCTTTGTTCACTAAGAAAGTTGCAGCCAAGATAGTAGTGGTGCTGGTGTATGTTGATGATATCCTCATCACAGGTGATGACTCTCAGTTGATTCAAGCTACCAAACTTGTCTTACAAAACAATTTCAGGATCAAAGACTTAGGTGAGCTTAGATTTTTCTTGGGCATCGAATTTGCTAGAAGTGTAGAGGGGATCTTGATGCATTAGAGGAAATACTCACTAGAGTTGAATGTATATTTGGGCCTCTTAGGGTCCAAGCATGTTGCATCTCCTATGGAGGTGAATCAAAAGCTTACCACTACTAAATTTGGCACTCACATGGGTGTCACTGATGATCCATCCTTATCTTATCCTGGTCCATATCAAAGATTATTTGGTTGCTTGCTTTATCTCTCAGCTACCCGTCCAGATATTTCTTTTGATGTCCAATGTCTCAGTCAGTTCATGCATAGTCCTAAAGAGTCTCATATGGAGGCAAGCAATTCGTGTGGTGAGGTACATTGAATCCTGCCTTGGATTATGGATCTTAATGAAGGCTCAATATTCAGAATCTTTGGTAGCTTTCTGCGATGTTGATTGAGCTGCATGTCCGAACTCCAGAAAATCAGTTACTGTCTATCTTGTTAAACTAATTGACTCTCCGATTTCATGGAGATCTAAGAAGCAATCCACCATTTCCCGCAGCTCGGCTGAAGCAGAATATTGTAGTTTATCCTCGACTGTGGCAGAGGTTGTTTGGTTGCAGGGGTTGTTCAAGGAATTAGGGGTCTCTTCTCCATCCCCTGTTCCCATAAATTGTGATAGCAAATCTGCTATCCAAATTAGTGCCAATCCTGTTTTTCACGAACGCGCTAAGCACGTTGACATCGACTGTCATTTCATCTGTGAGAAGGTTCAACAGGGTATTGTCAACACCCTTTATCTAGCCGCAACAGAGCAGCAGGCAGATGTGCTCACTAAGGGTCTTGGTCGACTTCTACATGAGTATTTTGTATCCAAGCTAGGAATGAAGAACATCTTCATACCTCCTAGATTGAGGGGGTGTAAAGGATAGCCATTAATTAAGTTAACCATGGTTAGTTGATAACTTTAGTTAATAGGTAGTTAGAGTTAATTTGTAAAGCTGGACATTAGTTGCTTTAGTTGGTTAGTGAGTTATTTAGATAAGTAGAGTTGTAACTCATCATTTTCATCTAAGCAATTACAATCAATGTTGCTCTCATATCTTCTTGTCTCAATTCTGCATTTCTTCATGCATTGATGCATAATGTTTGACAGCCCCAACGACCAAGTTGATAAGGTGGCTAGCTAGGCTCCAAATATTCAAACATGAATGAGTCCAACTTCAAAGTAGCAGTCCATCAAGAAGTATTGATAATAAGGGAGTCCTTTATTTAGTATCTTTTCTTTTTAAATTTTTAGGGCCCAAAATGATGAAAAACTTCTCAAACTTCTTTTCCTATTGTATGCAACTATGAGGGTACATTACAAATGTTATTATATACAGTTTTTTCTTTAAGAAGAGAGGTAAAATATAGTAACTCAGTAGACCAGTAAATAAACATTAAAATTCTTTATAAGTTCATTTCCTTGCGCTCAAATTTTAATGATTATGAAAAATCATATTCGCCTTTCGGTAAGGGCTAATCGTTTTTTTTCTTTTTTGGCACTGGCTCCTCAGTATCTTTACCCTAGGGCCTAAGATAACAGGGAAACTGGTTTCTTTTTTCTTGTTTGCCTCTTTTTGTCACATTTCAATGAAAAGAAAAATGCCCGAAAATGACACAAAATTAGTCTTAACGTGGAGATTATCCAGAACTACGGTAGGACCAACCTTAAAACATCATGTCAGGGAATTGCACATTAAACCGAGTTTGGAACCAAAATGTGGTTCTTTTGGACAAGTAGCACCTTAATAGGTGTAAAAAAAAGATGACATTTTTATTTATAGCGCCCAAATATTGGGCGCTATACATTAACGTTAACTGTGTCATTAAAGTATAGCGCCCAGTATTTGGGCGCTATATATAAAAAGCTGACACTAATAGTATAGCGCCCAAATACCCGACGCTATACATAAAACTTTATGTATAGCGTCCAGAATTTGGGTGCTATATACCTTTTTCTGGCCCCACCAATAATTCCTGACTTCAATAACTCAAAAGCGTATAGTGCCCACTTTTTGGGCGCTATATATAAAAAAAATTCTGACTAGCCATTTCCTATATAAAGAGGTTAGGATTATATATAAATTCATTCAAAAGGTGTATAGCGTAGAAATTTTCCGGCTAGCCATTTCCATACTCTTGTTGAAACGTTTATTGTTGTTAAATTCTCCAGCATTTTTTCATTATGTCTGAACAGCGTAGAATAAGAGTTTCATTATATTGAGGGGGTGAGGTTGTGATGGAGAATAACTCTGTGGGCTACAGTTTACCTGCTCAGTGTCATGTTAAATTGCCACTTACAATGGAGTACGATAAATTGATATCGTTGTTATGCAAAAAAATGAGTGTGATGAAATGTTCAGTGATACTTAAAGTAACCAGAAGATATTCGTATTCCGTCACTCCACAAGGGGTTGCTTTTTACTCGGAGTTTAACATCGACGATGATGAAACTTTGAGTGATTTTCTGAGGAGCCCGGATGAATACTAGGAATTTCTTGTAATCACAATGTTGGAGATGTACGTGAAGGTCGAAGACCTTCCAAAAAATGAGGTTGTGCGTAGTAGAGATAACCCCCAGTCATCGGGTGGTTATTCTGGAGCAGTTTTTGCCGGACAGGTTCCGGATGAAAGAGTTTTCCTTGATTTAAACTTATCACCGCCGGCGAATGAGCAGCGAGAAAATAATTTATACCCTGCTTTCCATAATTCACAAGACGAGTGGTAAAATTCAATTTTTATTTGTGTTAATTATGTATATTTTTGGTGTATTGAATTTGTATTAACGCTCATATATTTAATAGGGAGTACCGGCCAGATATGAATTTTACAAGTGGCCCATTCAGTAGTCATCACCTAATTGAAAACGTCCATCATGGAATTTCATCACACTACGACTTGTAAGTGAAGTGATATAGCCATATGGAAAGCATTTATTAATTCAGTAGCTTATATTTTTGTTGGTTGTGCAGTAAAAACGAGCAAGTTGAACCACTCGTACTCACTTAATTGCCCGAAAATGGCGTATTACATCGGGATCTAGTAGATGCACAGAGTGAGGAATAGAACAGTGATTACGATAACAATGTCGATGAATCCGGAGATGAGACACCCTTTCCTCGTGAGGATGGTGATGCGCAGGATAAGGAGGAAGGACGTGATTTGAAGAGAGACCCCCTAGATGAAGAGTGTACGAGTCTGAAGTGCCGTTTCATTCAAGGGAGATTCCTTACATTGATAACTTGCCAACCGTGCCGGATGTGGAAGCTCTCACAAGGGATTTTGATGAAATCTGGACAGCAATGTGGGATGAGTCTAGACCAACGGTGCTTCCAAAGGGGATGTTTTTTTCCTGATAAAGCGCGCGTAAGCAGGGCTTGTAAAATGCACAACGTAAAAGAGTGTTGTGAGATGCAGGTATGGGAGTCAAGTCCGATGGTATACAAGGTTATTTGTCGTAGGTGGTTTTGGCCATGTAATTGGATGTTGCGTGCGACCAAGAAGAAGACGGGTATGTGGAAAGTGGGTAAATACATTCCCACCCACACATGCGAAATGGACACATTCAACGGGAATCACTTCAACTTGGCTATTGACTTGATTTCTCTTGTACTTATTCCACACCTCGAAGCGTCCATAAGGTATAAAATCAAAGAGTGCATTACATCAGTCCACCAGGAATATGGCCATACCATTATGAAAAGAAAGGCATTTCTCGGGCGCAAACGAGCATTTGAAATTGTCTACGGTAATTGGGATAAGTCATTTGCATCTCTGCCAAAGTACATGGCCGCACTACAGTACTTTAACCTCGGTACAGTTGTTGAATGGAAGCTTGAGCGTAGTCCGGGAACACCAGAATACATATTCAATTACGTGTTCTGGGCGTTTAAGCCAGCAATTGAAGGTTTTTCGCATTGTCGGCCCGTAATATCCATAGACGAAACTCATGTCTATGGAAAGTACGATATCAAGCTATTGATAGTTGTGGCAGTGGATGCTAATGGATAGATATTTCCTCTAGCTTTTGCTATTTGTGCTAATGAAAGCACAGAGACGTGGACACTATTTTTGAACCACCTGAAAGAGCACGTTTTCAAACAGCATTCAGTTATTTGTCTAATATCTGATGTGGTATATTAAGTTATATGGAGAACTTTCCTGCATGGCAAGAACCTTATGCATACCACCGTTATTATGTGAGGCACTTTAAGGCCAATTTTTAGAAGGCACATCCCAACAAGGATCTACATGATTTGATGTGGATGGCAGCAATAGACCACCAATAGCATAAATTCTGGAGGCATATGGATTCTATCAGGCAAGAAGACGAGCCAGCCTATTGTTGGTTAATGCTACATCACCCGGAAAAGTGGACTCTACATGCGGATAGTGGCAGACGATGGGGAATTCTTACTACAAACGTGTCGGAGTCCTTCAACGGGTTATTGAAGTCGGCAAGAGGATTGCCTATCACAGCCATGGTGTGGATGTCGTTCAAGCAGATGGCGGAGAGGTTTGTTGAATGGTATGCAGTTGCAACGGAATTGATGGAAAGGGGTGTTGAATTTATGCCAGTGCCGATGCAGAGATTTGAGAAATACAGACGGCGAGCACATTGGCATTCATTTTTGCAGTATGATAACGAAAGAGGTGTTTTTGAAGTTCACACAGCTATCCATAATAATCGGGGTAATAATGTACATACTATAAATGAATCAGCAGGGTTATGCTCCTGTGGGAAATGGTCCATCTACCACATGCCTTGCTCACATGCCATCAAGTGTTTTCAACGTATTGGTTATGTAGAGACCAACTATGTTGATCAACAATATAGTGTTTCCAAGTACCTAAACACATATAGTGGCCAGTTGCAGCCAGTGGGTGCTAAGCATTATTGGCCTCCGGAACCATTTAAAATTGTGTGTAACAAGTCCTATTTGCGTAAAATACAGGTGCAGAAGAGAACGTGTATACGGAACCAAATAGATGTTAGTGATACCGTTTATGCGCTCAAATTTGGTATATGCTCGCAAACAGGACACGACCGTCGATGTCCTTCAGCTGGTTTGGGTGGCAAAATTAATCAAGCTCGTGGTGGGTGTTCTTCTAGTGTACCTAACTACCCATGAGTTGATGTTGTAATAATTAGTTGTTATGTTTATGTTGCAAGATTTATGAAATAAAATTATGCTTGTTAATTATGATTTGTACTTTCCCATTAGATAGTACATTATGTATTTAGCACGGTTGAACACTACGTTATGTGTGTGTTGTCTTGTCGAACTGAAAAAGCTGACCAGCTGACATAAAGTTGTCTTGTCAACATCATAATATTTAACACGCAAAATATAGTGCCATTATATAGTACGTTATGTATTTAGCGCGGTTAAACACTACGTTATGTGTGTGTTGTCTCGCCTATAAATAACGAGATCGTTGTAGTTATTTTGTGTGCTCAAAATTTACTAAAAGCAAATATTTCAATAAAAGTAAGGTTTTTTTACTAAAAGCAAATATTTCACAAATGGCTCAACCTCTTCGTCCACCAAAGTGTAAGTGTGGAAAAGCATGCTTGATGCAAAATTGTTGGGATGGTGGTGAAGTTGAACGCCGCTACTGGCACTGTATGAACCAGTTTTACAATATTCCCGACGAACCTATTTGTGATTTTGAGGAATGGGTTGATGAATCATGTTATCAGGAATGCTACAGAGAACAACTACAGTATTTTCATAATGTGTGTTTAAGACAACGGGAACATGAAAAGGAAAGCAATATAATTATTGCAGACTTGACGGCGAAACTGAAGGAGGTGGGAGAAGAAAAATGGAAAACACAATGGAATTATGAAGCACAAAAGGAACGTAAAAAAAATATAAACGGG